TGCCACACAAAATGGGGGATACAGATGGGCGACCACATCGTTCTGACTTCAAGACAACAAAGGACAAAATTAAATCGGATGAGACCGAGTAGTGGACTATCTTATTGACGAGGAAGATATCCCAGCATGCATCTGTATGTTTTGTTGCCACACAAAATGGGGGGGATACAGATGGTGACCACATCGTTCTGACTTCAAGACAACAAAGGACAAAATTAAATCGGATGAGACCGTGTAGTGGACTATCTTATTGACGAGGAAGATATCCCAGCATGCATCTGTATGTTTTGTTGCCACACAAATGGGGGATACAGATGGGCGACCATCGTTCTGACTTCAAGACAACAAAGGACAAAATTAAATCGATGAGACCGAGTAGTGGACTATCTTATTGACGAGGAAGATATCCCAGCATGCATCTGTATGTTTTGTTGCCACACAAATGGGGAATACAGATGGGCGATTCATCGTTCTGACTTCAAGACAACAAAGGACAAAATTAAATCGGATGAGACCGAGTAGTGGACTATCTTATTGACGAGGAAGATATCCCAGCATGCATCTGTATGTTTTGTTGTCCACACAAAATGGGGGATACAGATGGGCGATCACATCGTTCTGACTTCAAGACAACAAAGGACAAAATTAAATCGGATGAGACCGAGTAGTGGACTATCTTATTGACGAGGAAGATATCCCAGCATGCATCTGTATGTTTTGTTGCCACAAAATGGGGGATACAGACAGGCGATCACATCGTTCTGATCGTTCTGACTTCAAGACAACAAAGGACAAAATTAATCGGATGAGACCAAAATTAAATCGTGAGTGGACTATCTTTTTGACGAGGAAGATATCCCAGCATGCATCTGTATGTTTTGTTGCCACACAAAATGGGGAGATACAGATGGGCGACCACATCGTTCTGACTTCAAGACAACAAAGGACAAAATTAAATCGGATGAGACCGAGTAGTGGACTATCTTATTGACGAGGAAGATATCCCAGCATGCATCTGTATGTTTTTCTGTTGCCACAAAATTAAATCAAATGGGGACTATCTTATTGAAAGATACAGATGGTGTTTTGACCAAAATGGGGATCGTTCTGACTTCAAGACAACAAAGGACAAAATTAAATCGGATGAGACCGTGTAGTGGACTATCTTATTGACGAGGAAGATATCCCAGCATGCATCTGTATGTTTTGTTGCCACACAAAATGGGGGATACAGATGGGCGACCATATCGTTCTGACTTCAAGACAACAAAGGACAAAATTAAATCGGATGAGACCGAGTAGTGGACTATCTTATTGACGAGGAAGATATCCAGCATGCATCTGTATGTTTTGTTGCCACAAAATGGGGAATACAGACAGTCGACCACATCGTTCTGACTTCAAGACAACAAAGGACAAAATTAAATCGGATGAGACCGAGTAGTGGACTATCTTATTGACGAGGAAGATATCCCAGCATGCATCTGTATGTTTTGTTGTATGGGGGATACAGATGGGCGATCACATCGTTCTGACTTCAAGACAACAAAGGACAAAATTAAATCGGATGAGACCGAGTAGTGGACTATCTTATTGACGAGGAAGATATCCCAGCATGCATCTGTATGTTTTGTTGCCACAAAATGGGAGATACAGACAGGCAATCACATCGTTCTGACTTCAAGACAACAAAGGACAAAATTAAATCGGATGAGACCGTGTAGTGGACTATCTTATTGACGAGGAAGATATCCCAGCATGCATCTGTATGTTTTGTTGCCACAAAAATGGGGGATACAGATGGGCGATCACATCGTTCTGACTTCAAGACAACAAAGGACAAAATTAAATCGGATGAGACCGAGTAGTGGACTATCTTATTGACGAGGGAAGATATCCCAGCATGCATCTGTATGTTTTTTATTGCCACACAAAAAAGGACAAAATTAAATCGGGAGACCGTAGTGGACTATCTTATTGACGAGGAAGATATCCCAGCATGCATCTGTTCTTTTGACTTGGGGATACAACAACAAAATTAAATCGGATGAGACCGAGTAGTGGACTATCTTATTGATATCCACTGGGAGATTAAAGAGGAAGATATCCCAGCATGCATCTGTATGTTTTGTTGCCACACAAAATGGGGGATACAGACAGGCGATCACATCGTTCTGACTTCAAGACAAAAATTAAATCAAGACAAAATTAAATCGGATGAGACCGAGTAGTGGACTATCTTATTGACGAGAAGATATCCCAGCATCTGCATGTTTTGTTGCCACACAAAAATGGGAGATACAGAGGTGCGATCACATCGTTCTGACTTCAAGACAACAAAGGACAAAATTAAATCGGATGAGACCGAGTAGTGGACTATCTTATTGACGAGGAAGATATCCCAGCATGCATCTGTATGTTTTACGCCACACAAAATGGGAATACAGACCCACATCGTTCTGACTTGAAGACAACAAAGGACAAAATTAAATCGATGAGACCGTGTAGTGGACTATCTTATTGACGAGGAAGATATCCCAGCAAGATCAATGTTTTGTTGCAAAAATGGGGACAAAATTAAATCGATGAAGACAACAAAGGACAAAATTAAATCGGATGAGACCGGTAGTGGACTATCTTGATTGACGAGAAGATATCCCAGCATGCATCTGTATGTTTTGTTGCCACACAAAATGGGGAGATACAGACAGGCGATCACATCGTTCTGACTTGAAGACAACAAAGGACAAAATTAAATCGGATGACACCGAGTAGTGGACTATCTTATTGACGAGGAAGATATCCCAGCATGCATCTGTATGTTTTGTTGCCACACAAAATGGGGGATACAGATGGGTGACCACATCGTTCTGACTTCAAGACAACAAAGGACAAAATTAAATCGGATGAGACCGTGTAGTGGACTATCTTATTGACGAGGAAGATATCCCAGCATGCATCTGTATGTTTTGTTGCCACACAAAATGGGGGATACAGATGGGTGACCAAATCGTTCTGACTTCAAGACAACAAAGGACAAAATTAAATCGGATGAGACCGAGTAGTGGACTATCTTATTGACGAGGAAGATATCCCAGCATGCATCTGTATGTTTGTTGCCACACAAAAATGGGAGATACAGACAGGCGATCACATCGTTCTGACTTCAAGACAACAAAGGACAAAATTAAATCGGATGAGACCGAGTAGTGGACTATCTTATTGACGAGGAAGATATCCCAGCATGCATCTGTATGTTTTGTTGCCACACAAAATGGGAGATACATACAGGCGATCACATCGTTCTGACTTCAAGACAACAAAGGACAAAATTAAATCGGATGAGACCGAGTAGTGGACTATCTTATTGACGAGGAAGATATCCCAGCATGCATCTGTATGTTTTGTTGCCACACAAAATGGGGGATACAGATGGGCGACCACATCGTTCTGACTTCAAGACAACAAAGGACAAAATTAAATCGGATGTCACCGAGTAGTGGACTATCTTATTGACGAGGAAGATATCCCAGCATGCATCTGTATGTTTTGTTGCCACACAAAATGGGAGATACAGACAGGCGATCACATCGTTCTGACTTCAAGACAACAAAGGACAAAATTAAATCGGATGAGACAACATCGGATTTGAAGTAAGCGTAATGATTAAAACCTTGGAACGAGATATTGGCGAAGTGAGTTCGAACTCTGTTCGGGTTCCTTACATTCACTTTCGTACAAGTACGTTTGGAGAAGGTATGAATCCACCTTCTTCTTCCAGTTATGGTTAAATAGTGAGGATGAGTGACCTCTCTATCTGTGGTTGGCAACCTGACCAGAAGGAGGACAACTCTGAATTCAAAACTCAACCACCGGAAGCTGTATAACATGTTTAGACATAGGGTGCAAATAATAAATCTGTGACACAAAATCTGGATAGATCTCAACAAGGAGAATCCATTGATTATCCAGAATGCTGTTGACACCAACGGCCATTGGGGCCAAGGCAGGCGCCATGTTACAACCACGCTTTTCCTGATTGTTGCACTTCGGCTATCAGTGGTGAAACAAACCCGTTTGTTTATATTTCTTCCCCCCCCCACTCCCCACCCTCTTTTTCCTTTAAAGAAATCCTTAAACCGAAAATATGCCGGAAATTAAAATAATAAAAAAGCTTATTTTGTTAATTTTTTTGTTATGTTTTTGTATATACACTTCTTTTGGGGGATACACTGTATTGTATTTTTAAGTTTTAAAAAATGTATCCAAGTGTCAAACTATTTAGCCGACTTGTCGTCTGCTAATTTAATGATATTTTTTTTTATCGCAGACGATAATCATCTGCTTTTGTAATTATTTTTATATACTAGCGGGGTAAAGAAAGAAAAGGTAACTGATTAGTTTATTTTGCCCGTCTTTGCGTGCGTATGCAAATTGACTTGTTTGAGTTTAGTCACACTTTGGAGATGCGCATAAAAGAGCGAGTACGTTTTCAGCAGTTGGTTTTGCGCAGCAGCCCGAGGCCTTTGATCTGTGCCTTTATCCAGAAGAGAGAGTGACGTCATCATCCCTTCCTCCCTCAACTCAACAAAGTTCGTCGATAGCAGAAGGAGTTATTAATGTCTCCATTACGACTAATAACCATAAAACGGAGCGAAAGTTTTCTCCACGCCAATACACCACTTCGACAACCGCAGATATTTTGCAAAGATAACTTCTCGTTTGATTCAAAATTATTAATTTTAAATATCCAGCAGAATAAGCCAAGATTATAAAGGGTTAGATTTAAAAACCGTTAATAAGTCCCTTAGTGTAACATTTAAAAAAAACAGCTCTGGTGAAAAGACCTGAGCTATCCTTTTCGTTCTTTAATGTCTGCATCTAACAGTTGTTTATATTGTAAAGTTGTTTTTTTTTCTCATTTTTATAAACATCGGGCGTTTTGTCGTTTATTTCCTTCGCTATCTTTTCTTCCATTGTTAACCTTCATATCGGACTTGATGTCGCTTGTTCCCGAACGGGAAGAATTTCTTTATAAAACACTTTCAAGTTGCTACCTATTTTTCTCGTTTCTAGTATTATCATTCCGTAAATGTTTGAGCTCGCAGGCGTAAACTTTTTTTTTCGATAAACATTAAAAGAAAAGAGATTTGTACTCAGATCTCGTAATGATGATTGCGTCATAAAGCCGAACAATGACAAATAGTGACCTTGACCAACAACAACCATTTTTCACAAGCGAACATCCATCCACATCTCTATACTTTTAGTATATTTGGCTTCCTATTCGTTCAGGGACATGCTCGATCACACTGGACGGCTATCCTGGTAACCATTTACTTATGAGTTCCATTCTCGTTGAAATTGTAATATTGCATATTAATTATCTCGGGCGCATTAATATCAATCTAATCTCGCAGGCCATTGATAGTGAATCCAAACCCTTTTAACATGCCCCACATATAGCAAATTTATGCCAACTAATCGATTTATTATATGCCTTTAAATCTCAGTCATGCCTAGCTTTTGAGGCCAATCAAACTAGAAATCGATATATTTTTGTAGTATATCCGACATAATTAGATGAAATTTTCAGGAAATCTTATGCAGGAGTACTGGTCTTTCGCAATAATAATATATAATAATATAATAATATTATAATAATAATATTTTGATTGCTTTGAATTTACGATGATGAGTCGTGTGCTGGAGCCATGATAAAAAAAGAAAGAAATCATTTAAATTTAAAAAAATATGTTTGTAACGGAAATTAAAAACCAACAAAGGCCCGTCAGAAAAATTATTTTCGGCTAAAAAAAAAAAATAATCAGCTCAACATTAAAACAAAGAAAATACTTTTCAGCCAATGAATAGCTTTCAAAAGAAACTGATTATGAAAGCCAACTTATATGTAAGAAACATAATGCAATAAATAAGCAAACAGCCAGACCGTCTAGCCGTCCCGTCTTTTTGCCAGAGCCTAAGCGCCCTCTTGACATTATATAGCAATGATTTTCACATCTAAAGAAAACCGCTTTAAATCACAGGTGATAACAAGTAACAGAAACGTTTTTATATCGACTTCAGTTGTACACGTTTTATCTTTCTTATTTTCAAATCAGCTTAACCTATTTTGAAATGTATCCGATTTTAGAAACTTTAAGTCTACAAGTCGAATTAATACTAAAAGTTCTTCTTTATGCACACAAGAAAGAAACATTGACAAACCAACTTTAATCCATTTCTTTTTATCCAAACTGTTTAAAAATCTAAAGAGCATAATCTATGTAGATAAATAAATATTGTTGTTCTGGGTCGATGTAGCTTGTTTTTAGATTTTGCCATCCATCTACAGATATCCAGGGTCGGGGCAACTCAACATCGTGTAATGGTTAACGAGATTGTCTCGCTAGATCAGTTATGATTGGGTTATATCCTCACTGGATGTTCTGTACTTCCGGTGTAACTCTGCCAAAGTTAAGCTACGCTTAAAAATCCCCCCCCCCTACGGCTATCGGAAAGTCTCAACTCAACAAATCTTTTTTCCCAAAATTAATGGATGCCCACTAAGCACTCACAACCTAATAGCCTTTTACCACTTAAAATCCTTATCTCAGTAAAAAAAAAAAAAACTTGTTAACCATTCAGCTGAATGGGAAAGAGTGGGGACCAGCCTTAGCAAAAGTATCAATGATTAAAAGTTGTACCGGTGTAAACAATAACAAGGTGAGAAAAGAACGAAATTGGAGGCGGCAGTAATCAGTTTTTCTTTATTTTCTGACGATTTTTTTGTTACAGAATTTCTATGACAACATCTAAGTCACTTAAGGAATATTTATGTTTTACAAAGAACAAATTTCTATGACAACATCTAAGTCACTTAAGGAATATTTATGTTTTACAAAGAACAAAATGAAAAAAAATCTATTATACCCGAATGCATGTTTTTAAATTATTTTATGTCCGAAGTTTGACGTCTGAATGTTTGTTTATCTGGAAAGGACGTTCCACGGGCCAAGCAGATGAGACGACAGGGACCAAAGCTCTAGGTTTCTAGGTGTAGCGATATAGCTACGGAAGTTCGCATGTCGACATCTTATCTAATACACAACGAAGAAAAACCGAAACGCTTATGTTGTTTACAGTGTTAGATTACTTGTTGCTTAGAATTTACAGTAGCAAGAACGAATTGTTTACATATGGATGTGGAATGCTGGCCTGTGATGCAATGAGGTGGAAGTTAAAATAAGTTTAGGAACGACTGATAGAGAAAAACATTAAGTTACTCTCTCGTAAATTGGTGAGTTTCACAGTCCTGCAATACTAACTATGATATAGTTTAGGTCTCTCGTTTCCTCTCTGGTAAAATACCAACTATTTGTGTCTGAAATTAAGAATTGCTCTAATCCTAACACCCAATTTGGCCAATAAAAAAAAACTTTTACTCGTTAATAAATGCCTTATTTTTGTTGCTTTTTATACTATTTAAAATGTTATCTGAGGACCTCGATTTTCATGTTAAAATATGTTTTGTATGTTTGACATGATTTGCCACTGAAGAGAAACCGTTGAACATTTTTGAGATATGAGACGAGCTTACATGGCTGTCGGTCGCTATATTTAGAACAATCGTCTGCATCATACAAACTGGCTCATTAAATCATCCTAATTTAATGTGTTGTTTAATCTCGTTACATCATTTGGAAAGATCTATTTTCCATGTTTCTTCATAAAATTCGAATTTAACAAACTATGATTTTCCATATTTACAAATTAAGATTTTCAAATAATTTGCGAAATTTGAGTGAACCTGGCAACTTTTCTAGACGTCTTCCCTTCGTAATTCGCATTTCATTTTCGCAATCTTAATGTGAAAATGTTTCAGTTATTTTCTCAAGTTTAAATTGCACAATTTATCGTGAAAGGCGAGATTTTTTTTCAGTTTCGCAAATTTAATGTCGCGAGCTCTGTATCTGGTTCAATAGACATCTCTACTTACGGTGGAATGGAGTTGAAACAATATTATGCATTATGCATCTCTTCATGAAAGGGGGGGGTCTCCCTAGACAATAATTGTCCTTCGGAAAGGGGCTAAGATTATTATCTGGCTCCTGAGACATTCCCAAGAGGGGAAGTGCCGACGGTGTTTGAGCATTTTTTGTCCGTAATCCACGTACCCGTGGGCTACTAACCCACTTTAAACTCGACATTGTATCACATTTCTCTCGAGAAGGAGGTTGAATACCAATTTAACCATTAGCCAACGCCATTAATTTTCTTTCAAAAATTACAAAAAAAAAGTTGAAATCTAACAAACTTAGCTTCTTTTTTTTTCAGAAAATTCCCTTTAGGTCTGACTGACATGACCATTGTGACTCATTTAGTTGATAAGCCACTATAGGTTGGTTTCTTCTGTTAATCGGAGAGCCGGTTTCAAATTCCAGTCAAGTTCGTTACATTCAATTAAACCCAAATGCCTATGAGAAAAGTATGAATCTATTCTCCTTCCCCAGCTATGGGTTAAATAGTAGGACTTGTATCTGGGTAAATGATTTTTATTCTAAAAAAAACTGTTAATATAATGTGGCCAAAAAGAATTCTTCTTACAATCTAAAATATGTTTCGATTTTAAATAACCCAGAAGGGTTGATAAGCAGTAAAAAAAAAATTAATCAATTGATATTTTCTAATTTTTTTATCTTGAGTTTTTATCTCCCTTTAAAAATTTAAATTCCATGTCTCAATTTTTAGCATTTTTTAGAAATCAAGTGGTAACAAAACTGGAAATATGTTATATCCGGGTGTTGGTTTATATTAACAATCTTGATTGGAATCGGAGAGAGTTCTGGCCCGTCATTAGCGAGAGTCGAACGTGTCTGTTGTGCAGTACTGAAGCCTCTATTTGTGTTGCCAGCCACCATAGTTGAGAAACACATTCCACTTAAAAGTGAACAAAAGCACAACAAAGTTTGTGCTTTCGTGACCGTGAAAAACATGGCTGACACCGTTACAAAGAAGTTATTGCCTTTTGTCACACAACTGCCACATATCACCAGCTTGTTTGACTCGGAAGCTTAGAGAAAATTCACAAAGTAGGCAGCGGAGAGAACGTGGATGACATCACCTCTGTTACAGATAGCGAATATGTTCCAGTAACTAAGGTATATAACTGTCAAACGAATAGCTGAATAGAGTCCTAAATGGCGGAGGCCATGTTGAAAAGGAAGTTGACACAGAAAATGTCGTTTCACTGATTAGCCACATTGCATTTGATGACCTGTGCCGTGAATCTGATAAGCCAAATCTGGAACCCATATCACTGGAGAAAGGCTAATACAAGGTGAAATTCGAGAGGTAAAGTTTATGCAGATATGTGGGGAAGATAACGGTTAACCCTAGACTTGAACAAGATCAGGGAAGAATCCTCTTGGTAGTTGGTTCCCTTTGGCGAAAGGCGTCAGTACAGACGTAAAAGAAGCCCCGAGTTGCATGTGAATATGTCTGTCAACATTCGTTACATTTGGAGTTTCCTCGTTAGCAGCGGAACAGCTTGTCATGTCCAGATACGGGCTTCTCTGTAACTGGCCAACATACGAGTCTTTCTAAGCTGCCTCATGCCAGTAAAAGCGATGGGTAAACCAGCAATGGGCAGTTGGCGAGACACGGTGTCTTACGAAGTCGGTCCTTTGGATATTTTTGTTCCTCAAGTTGCGTGCCGCTCACCGTGTTGTGGTCTCTACGATAGTGTTGTTTTGTTACCTCTCGTTTCTTTACTTTCTCTGTCCGTTACCCCTGTAGTTTTGGGGAGAGAAATTAGTTAGGTGCCCCCCCCCCAATACACCCTTGTCATACATTACAACATTTCCACAAAGAAGCGGTTCGTGGGAAAAAGCTTCTCTAGTGGAACTTACATCTCGCCATTGGAATACGAAGAGAATGAGGGTGGTTAGCCACAACGGGCGTGTACTAACGGGTCCTAGCGGTGAAGGTTAGATCTGATGGAACTAAGGCGTGTAGTTCGCCTGAACACTTTCCTTGGAAATAGCAATAGAACAGTAAAAGACCTGCGACGCATTCTTGAAAACCAGGCGTACACTGGATAACTTTCATGGGAAGGATTTCTCCCTCAAGAAACGTTTAAATGATTACGTTAAGATCGGGGATAACTCCTTGTTAACATTCTTAAGGAGAACCACTGGGATTTTTTTTTCTGGACCAGTAGCCTTCTTAGTGTCAAGACTTTTGATAAGTCTTGTGACTTCCTTGGCTGTAATGAAAATATTACTAAGGTTGTGCTCAGTGAGATGTGGGAAGTCGGGAAGGGATGGCATTTGTCATCTGTTGTTGAGTTAGAGGCAAAGATCGAGGTGAAGTGCTTCGCCTTATCTGACGAGGGTGAAATGACCTCGGGGCCATTTTTAATAGTAGACATTAATACTTTACCTCTATTCAGAATTTGGTTAGAGATTTTCCAGAACTCCAGGGATCCAGATTGTTTGCTTTCAACCTTGGCCTGGACTGCTTATACATAGCTACCCTTTGTCTTTCCTAGAACTCACTTGCAGGGATTGCAAGCAGTTCTAAATGCAAGTATTGTCCTACTTTACCACTCTCTGTGATAGATATTCTAGTAGGGGTTACAATGAACTATCGACACAATTCATTCAGAGATGAGTCAGTTAAAAGAGGCCGAAAAATAACTGTGCTGTATTAAAAAAATAATGATAATTATGCCAATTAATTATAATTAAGGTAATTAATGATAATTAAGGTAATTAATAATTATTACGCTAATTAATGATAATTACGTTAATTAATGATAATTACGCTAATTAACTGCTGTGTGAGTTGTATAGTGGTTTCCTTTAGGAAAGGTAGGAATTCATTTTTTTCAGCCCTGGGTTAAATAACTAGGGTGATTGGGCTTTCCAGCCTTGGATGGTAACCAATATAGGAGAAGAAAAACTAAATTCAAAACAAGTTGATCATAGGGCTGGCAATTCCACCCCCTGAAAAAGCCTATTTGCTATGGAAACCACAGCAGAAATACTAACAGTGAGGCTGTGACCTTACACTCAACATGATAGAATGAAATAGGCTCTCTCTCTCTCTCTCTCTCTCTCTCTCTCTCTTTCTCTCTCTTTCTTTCTTCCTCCTCCCTACCCCTCCCTATCTCTCGTTTTATTAATAATTATAATTATAATGTTCAACCCTTGAATGGTTGCCATTATGCATCATGGTTGTCAGCAAGATTGGAGGAGGTGATGTTGTTTTCTCTCTCTCTCTCTCTCTCTCTCTCTCTCTCTTTCTCTTTGTCTTCCCCCTTTCTCTCTCTCCTCCTCTCTTCGTCTTTCTTATTCTCTCTTTCTATCCCTTCCTCTTTCTTTCTCCCTTTCCCTCTTTTTCTCGATCTCTCTTCCCCTCCCTCATCTCTCTCTCTCTCTCTCTCTCTCTCTCTCTCTCTCTCTCTCTCTCTCTCCCTCTCTCTCATGTTAATAATGGCTGGCTGGGGGTGATTTAATAAACTATCTTGTGCAATCACACCATTCAAATAAAGGAAAGCCACAGAGTAAAAGAAAATTGACACGATAAACAAAAATGACTGACATTTGCAAAATGACCTCAAATTTGTCAAATACAAGTTTCAAACCTTAGTCACCGAAAAGTGTGTTGGTCAGTGTTATTTAAACAAAGAAACTAAATGCATTATTAAACAAAATATTTCTCGTTTTTTTTTTTTTTGCTTGTTTTGTTTTTTAGTTTTTTAGGGGTTTTTTTTAAAGATTTTATTTTGTAATTCTGAATAGATTTTCTACATGTAATGAAACTTTAAAAACATTTATTATATAAGAAATTATTTTTAGTTTACAAATAATATTTTGTTAAGATTTCATTTCATAAAATCAATAAAAAAAATGGCGGGGAAGAGGATGGTTTGTTTAAAAATATATTTCCCTGAAATTTTCTTATAAAATTCCTTTTCATAAATTACTCTATTTATAAATGAAATACTGAATATTTTATTAAAATCTTATAATTAGATGATTTTTGGTAATTTTTTTTTTAAAGTCAATCAAAAGTTTGCTTATAAATAATACACTATGATATTTCTACAAATAAATCGTACTTTTTAAAGAGTTTTTTTTAAGCATCTCTTCAAAACCAAGATCTTTGGTTCTGTACATTGGGGAGACACTTTCTTTGTTTTTTAAATACCAGATATTTCTCCCCTCACTCTTTTGAATGGGACAAAGATTATTATTATAAAATTATTATCGTGTTAATTATTCTCATGTTTCGATAGGGCAAATCCTTTGAGGTTGATAGCAAAGATTATTATAAGAAAATTAACATGTTACAAGTTTTGAGTGTTTATATCAACACACGTTGCCTTGTTTTCAAAAGTATTTGAGGTCCTTTGGCAATTTTGATTTTTAAAAAATGGAGGATATATGAAAAGCTTGCTGGAGGACTGAAAAAAAAAGTGGAACCATAGATTGAGGCCTGGTAGCCACGATAACGGGGACACTGGAAATTGTCCCTAGCTGACTCAAAGCGAGGTAGGAAGACCCAGATACCTGATGAGGCGGTGGGGGGGGGGTCATCCATGCCACAACTAATAGCGGATTGGCTGGAAATGAGTTGCTGCCATGCGATCCATAGAAAAAAATAGACACAAATATTATACACGAATAATAATAATAATAATAATAATAATAACTGAACGATAGAAAAATGTCAAGTGAATTGTAGGTGTCACATCTGTTGTTGTCACATCTGTTGTTGTCACATCTGTGACCATTTCTATGCTGTCGACCGGCATCGAGAAGCACTTGTTACAAAAAGTTGTTATATGCTGTTTGAATATGAAAGTCAAAACAATGACCTTTATTTTTAGAACAATTAATTTATTTTGTGCTTATTAAATAAAACATAATGATGTGTGTGAGGTGTATATGTATGTATGTGTGTATGTCTAGGTGTGTGTGTGTGTGTGTAATTGTTAATTTTTCCCTTTTATTACTCTTCGCCCCTGAACACATTCATTTTTTTTTAATCTGGAGAGTCAAGTTTTCATTACGTTCCTTGACAGAATTTTATTTTAATCCTTAACTGAAAGAGTCTAAGACTCTAAGGACATTTTTATCATCGAAAGAAAAAAAAAGGTTTGGTTTTCCACAATGTCTTCATTTCAAGGTTTCATCATTTGTCTTTTTCTTGCGACGAATTACATTCGGAATTCAGGTGAGACACTTTAATTCGTAATTGTCTTTGAACTTCTGTTTCGTTTGATTCGTTTTTTTTTCTTTTTTTATAAGAATCCAAACGCACGTCGGATTGTGAGTCTGACAAACGCAAACTGCAATTAAAGATGTCAGTTGTCTGTCTCGACGCTTTATATTAGAAAAGTAAAATGATACTTTTTTTTTTCATTACAATACGCACAGCCAAAATATTTTTAAGCTTTTAAACTTTCATCGATTAAAATGAAAATGTCACAAGAGAATTCCAAATGACAACGTTTAAGAACGACATCAAAATGATATTCATTTTGACGTTAAAATTTCAACATTAAAATGAGTTTTTTTTATATATATAATTTATCCTAGATTCATGTGTAGATGACTTCATTGTACAATTTCTTAAACTGTATAAATATCAACAAAGGTTTTATAAAATCTTTCTATTTTGAATAACAAAATTATCGTTGAATAGAAGTTTTAATTTTCTCCTTTTTCTTCTTTAATTTAGTCACAAATGCTAATTAATATTGTAATTAAAACAGCATAAAGATTGAGAAAACTGCCGGCAATAAATGAATCCAACTACAACAGAAACAAAAACACGTTCAGTTTAGAAAAAAAATGAAAAGAAAAACAATGCACAAAAATTTGACTAATTTTGATGTAATTGCACCTGATGATGTCCCCTGGTAATGTCTGCAGCCTCGAAACCTCCTAGAGGTGCCTCTGGGTGTGATGTATTTTAATTTGTGAGCTCATGAAATTTGAGAACAAAAAGGTTTTATTTAAGGATCACCGATGCGGAATTGTAGAAACTGAAGTGAGTGAGAACATTTTTTTTCACTTAAATGAGTGTGAAATGAATGTTACTGGATGTAGCCAACGCCTTTATCCACTGTGCCATGTATCCTCAAGGACACATGATCCAGTGACAGGACCCAAAGAGTGTGAGTTCAATATCCGGTTAAGGCAGTGAAGAACTTGGAAACGGGAATTAACAGGAGATAACTGATAACTGACATCCATTAAACATGGTACGTGGAACTAGAACAGTCTACTCCAGTGAGCGAAATAAAGGGTTCAGTTCAACATTCCAACCACCTGAAGAAGGCCGGAACGTACAACGGCCGAAACGTTGTGATAAATATGGCGACAAAGATGAGGACACTAGACCGAATAATATAAATAGTAAAAAATCCATTAATTTCTTTAAAAATTTGTTAAAGTTTTAGATACGAAACTCTTACCATATATGGCTTTCGAGAAAAATCTGAGCGAGATATGCTTTAAGGCAAAATAAAAGTTTTGCTTTAGTGTGAACCTCAAGACGAAACATATTAACTGTTGCTCACTGAACTATGCCTTTACACTACATTTGATGAAACTAAATGTCGTCGTATCCATTGTAAGTATATCTACTCTTTACTAATCTTGTAGCATACCTACAGATGATAATGGATATGTCCCCATTCGCATAAATTCAATAGTAAATACTGTATGTTGGTCTGCAGTTGGAAATTCATTGTGCAATTCACTTGGCTCACTTCTAGCAGTTGACTACTTCTTCTACACGCTGCTAGCGAATCTTATATGTGTTGTTCTTGTCCTAAATATAATCGTTTATTACCAACCTTCGTATGATTATTCTATTTAGTAACCTTCCCTGGGTTACAACAATTAATTATTTATTATTACTTGCTAATTTATTATATTCATATTTTCAGCTTATTGTCCAAACTTTTCTCTATATCGAGATGTTTATTTTTTTAATTTTGCCCAGATTTCTCATTCAAAAGCTACAAACTGCCACCCAGTCTTGTCTGTGAATTTTGACGCCTGTAACTTTATTTTTGTCCCGATTTTGCACAACCACCGTTACATTTTTTTTGCACAGTGTCTAGGGACAAAGGAATTACTCCCATCATCTTTGCTGGTGTTTTGCACTTACACATCAAAGCATCCGACCGTTTGGTGTTTGATAAAAACAAGTTGCATTCACGAAAATCATTCAATGCGACACTAGCATTAAAAGAAGATGAAGATGATTGTTTACAAATGGTTGTGCGATGGTATGAGTACAAAAATGCAAATTCACTCCTGCTGATATAAAACCATTAAATGGCGTCTTGTCAGTGTTGAATAAGATTTTGATGAAACTATTCAGTGTATATCGAAAACTCTTCAAGAACTCCAGGAACATACAGAAATAATCTGGTGGAATCCCTGATCTTCAAAGACAAAAAATCTCGCCGCCAGCCTCGTCTTTTGTCTAATTAAAATCAAGGTTTTCATTGCGTTATGGCTGTCACAATGAGGAATTTGAAGGGATATTTTGATCTAATTTGTCGTAGATGAAACCAGATGCGTTCACAATGAGGTGGCAAATTTAAATCGATTTTGTCAAGCCTGTAAATAAACCAGCATCATCAGTTAACCAGCTGACACGGATTATTGAGAATATTTTTTGGTTTTTTTTTTTTTACTTCAGCAGAATATTTTTAGGAAATGTCACCTGTTCGTTTTATAGTGTCACTGGTTTTAATCTCTCAGTGGAGACTGGCATGTTTCTAGGAATTTTCTGTGGTTTAGTTATTTTTCATGTCTGGTATAGTGTCCAGAGTAAGGAGGATTGCTTAGCTGGATGTGACGGTCCTTCATAAAAGAGGGATATGTTCAGCTTAGTCATCCTTCACAAAATTGCTTAATGTTCTTTGTTGTTGTTTGTTTTGTTTTTGTTGTTGTTTTTTTGTTTTGTTTTGTTTTTTTGAGGGGGGGGTTATAACGGTAGAACTGTTATGTTCTGTTGGAAGTTATATTTGGGTTCCAATGATAGATTACCTGTTTTTGCTCGTTCCGAAAATTTCGTTGTTAAGAGTAGCCTTTGAGACTGTCATGCCCTCTAAAATCGCCATACACTGACCGAATGAAACCAAATTTTGGGGATAAGTGCAAACAGGTAAAACGGTACAAATTACAGTTGGTTTTACTAGGATACGTAAAAACCGCGAAGTAGGAGTTTTGTCGGTTGATTTTTCCAAACAAATCAACTTATTCAAATTTCATCGATTGATTTGTGAAATTGAACTAAATGTACAGTTTGTAAAAACCAGTAAAAATGTTTAATCGATAATTTCAACAATACTAAATACTGTGAGAATTTCAACGAGCGTTAACGGTTTACAAAAAAAATTCTAGTAAAACAAAAAAAAAAAAAGAATAAAGTCACAGTCTCAAGAGGTGAAAGGATTTTCTCTTTTCGTAATAAAAGCGTC